GGTGGACACAATATCTTTATTTCATTTTTATGTGGTGCTGAGCATCAAACCCAGCGCCCTGCACATGCCAGGCAAGCACGCTACGGCTTGAGCCACATGCCCAGCCCCCAAGAAATTCTTTATGAAGAAAAAAATAACTAAAATGAACATCCCTAAAATCTCAAGTAATCCAAGTGTTCTTAAGAACTTAAAATCTTTGTTATTATTGTTATTTTATATAGGACATAAAAAACCTCAGAGAGCTTTGAGGCACTTTGGGACAGGACAAAGTCAGTTAAGCTTTTTTAAATTTTTTATTGTTTCTTTTTAGTTATACATGACAGTAGAATCCATTTCAACATAATTATATAAACATGGAATATATCTTATTTTAATTCAGACCCCAGTACCTCTCCTTCGTGTTCCCTTTCCCCATCCTCCTGTTCCCTTCCCTCTATTGATCTTTCTGCCATTTACCCATAGTTATTTTTTAAATTAATTTCTTATGGATGTACACTATAGTGAGATTCACTGTGATGTTTGTATATATATATATATATATACATAGGAAAGCTATGTCAGATTCATTCTACTGTCCTTCTTATTCCTATCCCCTTTCCCTTCCCTTAATTCCCTTTTGTTCAATCCATTGAACTTTTAATCTTTCCTCCCCACTCCTTATTGCGAGTTAGCTTCTACTCATCAGAGAAAACATTCAACCTTTGATTTTGGGGAATTGGCTTATTTCACTTAATATGCCCAGTAATCCCACTCCTCAGTATATCTCCAAAGGATTTAAAATCAGCATGCTATAGTGACATGGACACATCAATATTTATAGCAGCTCAATTCACAATAGCTAAGCTATGGAGCCAACCTAGGTGCTCTTCAAGAGTTGAATGAAAAAGAAAATGTGGTATATATGCACAATGGAGTATTACTCAGCTATAAAGAAGAATGACTTTATGACATTTGCAGGTAAACTTTAACATAACCCTCACTAATCTATCACTGTGGCTTATTTTAAAACTGGCTTTCCCCCCTTTCTCTTCTCACCTTCCCCCTCCCTAAACAAGGGTGTGGTCAAGCTGAGGACTCAGAGGAGCTGACTGAAGTTTTGATCCAAGGAGACAATCTTTTTCAGTACTTGCCTCAGGTCACACAGATAGTAGTTGGGCCAAGTTGATGAAGCAATTTGACTCAGGTAAGGAGTTAGTTACCTGTGCCCTTGTAATATAAGGGAAATACATGAGTGCAGAGAAAACTGATGTAAAATTGTGCAGCTTCACCCTGCTCCACCTCCAGATAGCCCTTATATAAATATTGGACCTCCAACTTAAGTTAGTTAACCAAGAAAAAAAATTAGACTAAAATCCAGGTCTCTTGTCTCTCAATCTTGAGGCCTTTTCACTATATGAATTTTGTTTTATATTTTTTGAGACTGGGTTACCTAGTCTAGTCTCGAACTCCTGGGTTCAAGTAACCCTCCTGCCTCAGCCTCCTGAGTACAAGGACTGCAGGTACATGCCACTACGTCTGGCTCTATGTATTCAAATAATTTATTTTTTCATTCTGCAGACTTTATAATGTTAGGTATTTTTGGAGGCACTGAGGAGTAAGCAGTGAACAAAATAAATATGGTCCTCAAAGGAAGGTGAGGGTGAAAGGTGCCAAAGATAAACACAGTCAGACATTACTTTAAAATGATAAAAAGTCGAGTTTATTCAGCAACTACTGACAGTAGGGGAAAAGTTGAGCTCCAGTTCACCTTAAATAAAAAAAACAAAACAAAACAAAAAAAAAAAAAAATCAGGGGTTGGGATACAACTCAGTGGTAGAGCACTTGCCTAGCCTGTGCAAGGCCCTGGGTTCACTCCAGCACTGCAAAAAAAAAATGAAGAAAAAAGAGAGAGAGAAAGAGATAGAGATAGAGGTAGAGAGAGAGAGAGAGAGAGAGAGAGAGAGAGAGAGAGAGAGAGAGAGAATGAGAACACGAACATGAGAGCAAGTGCATGCAGAAACAGGGATATGATATAGTTCTCAAGTCCTCAGGCCCTGGAAGACTACTTTCTCCAATCATACACCATCTGTCTACAGTTTCCACCATGTCCTGGTGGCCCATTTAAACTATCAATTCATCAAATGCACTAATCTACTGATGAGATCAGAACCCTCATGATCTAATCACTTCCCCAAACCCTACCTCTGGACGTTGCTGCACTGGGGAAGAGTCTTCAACACATAAACTTTTGGGGAATATTCCAGATCCAAAACCTAACATGCAGTTTATTTTTAATTATGGAAATAATCATTTTTGCAGCTTTCAGGCAAAGGCTAGCACTTTGTTTATGTAAAACTTATGAGAAAGAGGTCAAAAGAGAACATCTAATTATAAATGGTGACAACATTAATTCACGTCTTTGGCTCCATCCTGGATATATCACTAGTGATCTTTAGTAGAAATTCTTTTCAACAATTGGAAATTTGTGCTATAGTAATGTATTCATCAACATTATTTCTTAAAAGCAAAACCTAAAAATTCAGCTTTCCTGAGGTGCTCATGCACTAACATTTTGCAACCCTCTTCCTACATTGGAGAAATCCTATTTCTTACTGTCACAATGATTACAAACTCACTGTTAGTAGAGAGAGTATCCTGGAAGAACAAAGATTTTTGGTCACTAATGTTCACATTAAAATATGTATTTTTAACCACTCTATCTTCTGTCTTCCTATTTTGGGGATGTATGCATAATTTCATTCATAGAAACATGGTATAGGATGATGTTTTCTCTGCATTATCCAGCCTGATTACAATAACCTTGTGCTTCTGGTGAATGACGAGACTTCATGATCTGGGGGTCAGAAGGATTCCCCTTCTGAGGTGACAGACTTCTGTGCAAACACCCACACCACTCAGCCTCCCCCAACTCAGGTTGCAAGGGAGCAAAGATGTTCCGCAGCCTCTCTCTCTCTTCCCTTGCCTGCTTTCCATTACCATAGAGAAGCCAAAGCCTAGGGCTGCTGCCCCAGCTGCTATGCCCCAGAATTAGCAGTTCTCTGAGGAGTACTGTTTTCTCTTGTGGGAAAACAGTATCTAAAACAAAGATCTGGGAGTGGGGTGTGCTCCTTGAGACTTGGGGTTTGGCTGTTCCCAGCCAGTCTCAGTGGACAGAGCTAGGAAGTGCATGTGTGTACATTTACTCATTTAGAAATCAGTTGTTTTTCTTGATTTCACTCCGTCCTTCTATCTCTACATTGAGCCAAGCATGAATCCATACCGAGGTCTCAGATCTCAGGCTGTGGCCAGGCTATGGGTCACATTCTCACCTCCCCCTTTCAGACCTGTACCCCTCCACTCCCAGCAAGATGCAAGATACCAGCTGCTACCACCCAAAGTGCCCTCATCTCTGTGTTCAACCCCAGAATAGATGTAAGACAATTTCAAAATTGCTAACCTACTCTTACTTGAAATAAATTTTCTAACTGAAGTGTAGTTCCTTCTATCTGAACTCTTAAGGGTTCCCATCAATATACCATTTTTCGCTGTTGCTCAGACCAGTTGCTTTCCCCATCCCTGCACAAAGGCCCTGTGACCATTTGTATGCAGTAAGAGTCTCTTGTCACATTCTGAGTTCTGTCCTGGGATACGCCAGCCTCCTGCATGATTTTTAAACATTTTCATCTATTACAGCTACTCTCTGTGAGTACGGTTCTATCTATGGGTTTTGAAAAATGTAGAGATTCCTATAATTTCCCTGTGCCATCCCCTACATAGTCAACTTGTCCCCAATCCCCCAAATCTTACAACTTTCAGTGTGTTTTCTGTCTGTATGGTTTTGCCTTTTGCAGGCTATCATATGAATGCAATCATGCAGCATAGAGCTTTTTCAGTCTATCTTCTTTCATTTATGCTGTGCCACTAAACACACACACACACGCACACACACACACACAAAAACAAACAAGATCACTTTCAAGTTCACCAAAATTCCCAATCTTTTGCTTATTCCTCCTTGAAAGTAGCAAGCACAGCTAGTTAAAAATTGGTGTTTTTTTTTTTTTGCTTCACATTAGTTAAAAATGTATATGTGATATTTTACTCTCTAGGACTTGCATGAGCTTATTTCTATTGCTCATTGTTTCTGCTAGTTTTCATTTGTGTTGATTTGTCTTCTTGAATGCCTGGTTATATTTTATTGTATGTTGTATTTTGTATATGCACAATTGTTTGTAGAAATACAAACATAGGTTACTGCTTTTGTTCGCTTGTTTTTAAAGAAAATTCTCAATTGCTTCTGGCAACTTAATGGCATACAAGTTTTCCTCAGTCCAGTTCATGAATCAAGGTATCCTGAGCCAACCTGAAAACTGAAGTCAAGGTGCAGTCTCTTTAAGGGTTAATTTTCTTGTTTTTCCCTTAGATGACTATCCTTTGATATCCTAGTCCCCAAATATTCCCACCCTTTAGGGCTTCTACTCTTGAAGGGCCCTGAATTCTTCTTTTTGTCCCCTTAATCCTACAGAGGATTTTTTTAACCACTTTCCTAGCATTAGTAGTACCCTTCAGATAAAAAATAGCCCCACATGTGCTGAAAATTGGACCCCAGGGTGATGGTTTTGAGAGAGAATGTGGAATCTTTAAGAGGTGGAGTCTACTGGGAGGTCCTTAGGTCACTGGGGGAAATGCCCTTGGAAGGGATTGAGGTGAGTCTTAAGGGACCTTTGACAGTTATGTTTAACAGATGTTCCTTACATTTTCAGCAGTCTCTAGTGGTTGGATGGGTTGACAGATGAGTGGGCTAGGTGTGTTGGTTCACATTACTTGGTTCACCCTTAGTCTGAGTGGAGATTCCTGTACCTCTTTCAGGCCATCTTTCTGTTGGGCCAATTTTTTATGGCTATAAAAATTATACAAGTTAGGTTAACTATATGCAGTAAAGAGGTTTACTTGGCTCACATTTCTGGAGTTTCAAAGTCCAAGATCAGATTGGTTCAGCCTCTGGGGAGGGAACAATTGGGTCACAGTGGTGAAAGTGAGTATGGGAAGAAGAGATCACATCTCAGAACAGGAAGCCAGAGAGCAATCAGGGGTTGAACTCACATTTAAAATAAATCTTGAGACAGAGCTCAGAGGTTCTATGAGAGCCACCTTAATTTCTTCCAAGGGCCTGTCACCCTGTGATCTAAGGATCTCCCAGTAGACCACACTATCACCTAACACCTCCTTCCTGGGGATCAAGTGTCCAACACATGAACCTTTGGAGGACAAACCATTTCAAAACCATAGCACTCTCCAACCAGAGTTGTAGGCCTCTGGGATGACTCCACTGAAGGCTTGGAATTTGAACTTGATCTTCACTCTGGACCATTAGGATCCATTTTCAAGAGAGATCCATGCACTGAATCTGAGGGATGTTCCTGCAGAGGTTCCCCAGATACTCTGTGACTATCCTCTTGTGGGCAACATCCTAGGAGTACTCTGAGGTGGTCCTGGCATGCCTGCCAGTTTCCCACCCTCTTTTCCTTTATGAGAATCCCAGTTAGGACTTCTTTCTCTTTTTCCAGAAAGTTTATTAATAATATTTATATGATCAAGTGGAAAAGAATATTTCCACCATTTATCACATACAGACTTTGAGTGATCCATAGAATGAAGTCTCATGAGTTCAAAATCAGAGCAACACTGACACTCATTTCTTCAAGCCTTAGATGGGCAACACAGGGAGCATTATAACTATTACTCTGAGTTTTTCAGATGGGGGCATGAACACAACTTCCCAGAACACAGCCAGTTTCTGCCCAGGGCCCTCTGTCTTCTCCTCACTCACTGTCTTTTGCTGTTTTCAGTGTCTGGGGGCCCGATGGTCTTAGCACCCTATAGTGGTGGGTGTACTGTGACACTGTGGTCGCTCATCCAAGGCTGCAAAGCATCTGCAAAACTGACCAGAAGAGCAGCATCTGTGGAGGGAAATAACTGTGAGGGTTAACCAAGCAGGAAAGGGTCCTAGCTCTGAAGTGGGTACCATAAAAATATTCAGATGCCCTCTCACTGAGGCCATGAAAACCATTTTTTAGGCAATTTCCCCACCAGAGGAGGGAGGTAGTTTCTGTATGTGTTCATCTCTCTTGGTTAGAAAGGTTCCTCAAGGTGGCAGTGCTGAGGCACCTAGGAAAGGAATTTTTAAAAATCTGGCTTTAAAAAAAAAAAATCTAACTGACGATGTTGATTACTTTTAAAGAAGTTGCTTTTGGAGTTAACATGTTGGGTGTCTTTATTCATTTCTAGTTGTCATCAAGGAAGTGTACGGATTGAGTGTTTCCCTCTAACTACTGGCCGGTAGCAAAGGAATAGAAACTGTTAGGCTTGATTTGATGATAAAGTGCTAAACCCAACTTTATGATTTATTATTGTTGAGTGTGTTGCAGTAGGTTTTGAATTTCAGATGACAGATCACAGCCCTTGGCCAAAAAATCTAGAACTACAGAACGAACTATTCGGTCAAGATAGTAGATTTAAAAGGAGTAGTAAATCATTGGTTAGTCAAAAGCAACTTATTGAGTTTATCTCCTATGTGTAACAAACAAACAAACAAACCAAAACATTGAATAATCCTGTTGTAAATTTTCTGGCTTTCCTGACATCTAAGATGAGGAAAGCTTCAAAGACCCCCCGCCCCACCACCACCCGGACACCTCTGATCCAGTATGATAGCCTGACTGGGGATTTGCTCCAATGAAGTCAGCCATCTGTGCACTGTGAGGCAGCTGGTTGCATTTTTTCCTCTACCCAGAGGGCAAACACACACATCACAAAACTGGGTTATGATGAAGGGAAGAATTAATATATTTATTACTATAGAAATGTAAGATTATTAACTCACAGGTTTATAATTGGTACCAAGCCCAAAAGAATAGTTAGTCCCCAACTCAATCATCTGAGAGGGTTTTAATTTGCCCCTCACCTGACTTTTCACATCCTTTCTACTGGCTTAAAATATATAGAAAACAAAGGCAATTAAAAGCTCTCCCCAGGCTCAATCTAAGAAAAAAAATTTACTGTGAATTTTCTTATCATCTTCTGGGTCTTTTTATTTTCTTTATGTTTTTCTTCTTATAACTTAAGTGCAGCTTCAGAGACTCTGAGAACAAAGCCACTGAATGTCCTCTGAAAGCACCAAGCCTTTCCTCCTCAGCAGATGGGGCTGACCACGACACATCCAGACCAACTGGGAACAAGGGTCCAAATGCACTTTCCATGAAGTCAATGCTGATTGCATCCAGAAGGTCTGGGCCCCTCTAGATTTGACACCCAGTTTGTAACCGTTCTGGTGGCCCCATCTCACCAGTGTCACAGAGCAGATGCAATGACTGGGTGAGTGTCGTGCCTAACACTGTGGACAGTGGTTCCTGGTGGAGGAGGGGGAACAGTGGAATTGAGGAGGGCCGGCAGCACCATGACCCCAGTGACAGACTTCTGCCCACTCAGCTTCCTCACCCACCATCTCTTGCTCTCTCCAGAGCCTTTGCACTTATCAGGGCCCAACTCCACAACTTCTTCTTCCTCATGAATCTAAAACCCTTTGGAACTTGTGTTGATGAGTGTGCCCTCTGGCCGGTCTCTAGAGTCTCCACTCGGGTATGCCCAGCTTTCCAGCCAAGTCAAGTCCCACCATTCCTGGTACCATTTCCTCTGTTGCTCACATTCTTCATCTCTGCCCATTGGCTCTCCAGAGGGATCTGCTCTGCTCCATTAGTGGAATGAAACTGTAGGGGTCTAAATCCATCTCCTGCAGCACATATTTGGCAAATGCTCTGTCCCATGGGGGTCTTCTATTCCAGGGTGGTCATCAGGTAGGATTTTTAGCTTTCACATTATTGATCAGGACCAACTATTTTTCCAGAACATAGGAGCTTCCATGGCAATGGATCTTGGACTGACAGAACCATTTAAACACCATACTTGCTCACAACCATAAACTTTCCTCTGAGGTGCTCACGGTGGTCTTGGGAGGCCCATAGCTGGCAGGCATGGCTTTTACCATTTCTCTTTCCAGGCTCCTCCTTCTGTCATTCCTCTTAACTGCTCAATGAAGGGCTGTCCAGCTGGTCATGACTCATCCACTCCTGATCTAGTTCCTGCAGTAAGTTCTCATTTTAGTGGTTGAAATGCTGCTATCAATATCTGGAAATTAAATAATGCAGACCACAGGGCCTGGAAGTACAGCTCAGTGGTAGAACACTTTCCTAACACAGACAAGGCCTTGGGTTCAGTCCTCATTATTTCAGAAAAACAAACAAACCAAAATTCATACCTCAAACTTGGACCTGAATCTGAAGAATGGGGATTCCCTTGGACAGAGGGACTCAGGAGAGAGGCTGGCTCCATGGTTCTGCCAGGACAAAGGGAGCTGGGAAGGAGGATGTGGTCATTTTCCACTTCCCTTTGTGGCCCTTGTATTGTTTGTGTGATTGACAGGCCAGAGGTTAAGGGGCCCAAGGGGATGGTCTTCTTTGCACCCTCTAGATGACCTCTAGGGCTGCCTGTGGGATGCACTCCCATTTTCCTGATAAATCTGATCTTCCTGTCTCTCTGAAGGCAAGTCCCACATACGCACAAACTTAGGGGGTCAGTCCCAGCTTCCCTGTAGCATGGCTGGTTCCTTCCTTGCTGTATGGCCTTGGGGAGATGATGTGTGATCTTAGTTTCTTGGGCCATAAAAGTGTGATGATGACCCTCCTTATTTGAGCCGTGAGATACATCCCCAGGCCCATTGCCCATAGGAGGTGCTCCCTGAAGTCTTCCTCATCCCTTGGTCCCAGAGGGAAGTGGCTGGACCCCAGGGTTCCTGTACTTTCTCACTGTAGCAACTTCTCTGCTGTCTGGTAGCTGCCTCCTCCCTGTCTTTCCTCCCACCAGGTGAGGAAGTTCATCTCTTATTCCTAGGTGATTACCCAGGTGATTTAGCAAGCCCAACACAAAGCAGTCTACAATCAGTGTTTGTGGAAGGAGTATAGGTTCTGCTTGCTGGAATGTCCCTTTGTCTCCTGCTCTGTCTGATGAGATTGAGACCCTGTGCCACACTCACCTCCCCTGAGAATTCTTCCTTACGAGGCAGTTTCTACCCTGGGTATAGCTGAGCACTGCATGGGGTAGAACATCCTCTGGGGTACTGCCAGCTGTTTCCTGGGGATTACAGACAGATAGTCATCTTCATGTCCTTCGATGAGGGGGTATGCCTTGGGTGAATGTTGTATTCCTGGCTCACCTAGATGCACCCAGGAGGGCTTCTCTTTTGCACAGATGAAAAAGATGCTGGGCCTTTGTGGGCCACAAGGTAAACCAGACACATATCCTGACACTCAGGAACCACACTCTTAAAGGAGATGAGGCACACCCAAGGTTACTAGTACATAGGGCAAAATGTGAGCTCAGCCTCCAAGAAGAAGGGAGTAGAAGGGAGGCATGGGATAAGTAGGTTTGCTGGAAGATGGGTACATGACCCAGGTTTGTGCAAAAACTGTGGGCTATGAAGAGATCTTGTGCTTCTTACACATGTCCCTGACTCAGGTGTGTCAAACCTTGAACAGACATCCACTTGGGCTGTTCCAGGTAAGGGGGGATTGTTAGAAGGCTGTGGAGGCTACTGCATGGGCACCAGAAAGAACAGACAAGGTATGTTTCTGTCTCAAGTAACTGAAGCCATTTGCTAGTGGGCAAAAACCATACAATCAGTTTGGAACATGGGGTATTTCTGATAAAGTTTAATGTACACTCAGTATATAATCCAGCAATTTCATTCTTTGTATTCATCCAGAAGAAACAAAAGCCTATATCTTCCAGATGTCTGTAAGTATTCAGAGTAGCTTAATTCCCAAACTGAAAACAACTCAAATGCCCATTAGTAGGAAAACGGATATACAAAGGGTGGTATCATCATACAATGTATATAATACAGTAATTAAAAAGTTAGAAATGACTGGTGTTCACAGTAATGTGAATGAATCTTAAAAACATCATGTTGAGCAAGTGAAAACTGATACAAAACAGTAATATTATGATTCCATTTGTATGACGTTTGAGGACAGAAAATATCCAAAGCGATGGAAACCTGCACAATTGCTGCTTCTGGGAATGGAAGTGCAGTGGAGGTTGGGTAGAGGGTCTCTGGATCTTGCTTATAGTAATAACAGGGTGGTATTCTTTTGTCAGAACTCATCAATTTTTGATATTTGAGCATTTTACTGTGTAGAAAATAAGCCTCAATAAAATTTTATTTTAAAAAATCAGATTTGTGTTAGCTTTCTATTACTATAACAAAATTACTGAGATAATAAACTTATATAGATAAAAGATTTACTTTGGTTCATAATTTTGGAGTTTCCAGTCTACGATTGGTTGGCCCTAGAGCTTTTATGGAAATAGCATGTGGCACTGAAAAACTTTCACCTCATCATCAGGAAGGAAAAAAAAAAATAGAGAAAGAAGAGGTCAAGGTCCCATAAGTTCCTTTGAGGGCACACCCCTGGTCACCTAAAGACCTCCACTAGGCTCTGCCTTTTAAAAGTTCTGCCACTTCCCAATAGTGCTACCCTGGTGACCAAACCTTTAACATGTGAGTCTTTGGGAGAGAGTCAATTTCCAAACAATAGTAGGTTTGGAGTCAAAATTCCTTACTTCAGTAGTCATAATGCAGAGTCACTCATCAAGTTTCTAGATCTGAGCCACTTGACAGGAATGGAACCCCTTCATTAAATATGAGGCAGGGCCCCTTGAGAAAAGACTGAAATAATAGTCCAAGTCTCCTAGAGGTGCCTGGAGCCTGTCTTTAGAGTGACTGTCCTGACAAATGTGTTCTACCTGTAAACATTAGGGGGAAGGAATATCCTGATTATTCAGGGATTTCTTGGGACTGGCTTTGAGATGTCATTAATTTGGAGGGAATTAAAAACACCATTGTGACCCAGCATAAAAGTGAGGAGTATGGAGGTTTGAGTATAAAAAATATTTTTGTCTCAAGTGTGAATTTCCACAAGCTGATGTGTGTGGGGGCTCCCTGTTGGTCACTTCTCAGTTTCTGAATGCACAGTGGGACTCATTATCCTCCTCAGCCAGCAAAGCCCCCACGGCTATCTTTCTATGGAGCTCGTGCTATATTGGTAACAAGTAAATAGCAAGTAAAAAGAAAGTGAAAGCCCTGGAATTTGCCTCCCTGCAGACCCCGGAGAGGTTCTTTTTGTTTGTTTGTTTGTTTTAAGTCGTAGATAGACATAATATCTTTGTTTATCTATTTATTTTTATTTGGTGCTGAGCATCGAATCCAGTGCTTTACCCATGCAATGCAAGCGCTCTACCATAAGCCATGTAGATGAAACTCAACTCACTGTTTCTGCTGGCAGGTGGGGTCTGCACAAGCTGCAGGCATCTGTAGCCGAAAAGTGTCTCAGCTCACAATGGCAGGCCATGCCCTGCAATGTTGCAGTGGACTCTGGCAGCTCCCTGTCAATGACTTCCTCTTTCAGGGTTCTTGACTCCATGAATTTGAAGAATGAAATCCACAGTCAAGGATGAGTGAGTTTTATAAGAGTAGGATTTATTGAAGAGTAGAAACAGGAACAGAACTCTTATACTGCAAGAGGGGACCCGATAGCAAGTATTCTCCATCAGAGTGTGCTGGTTTAGTGGTTTGGATTGCACTTGGTTCACTGCTAATGGTACAAACTTATGCTAATTAGGGTTTGGAAGAAGTACCAATGGTATTGATCCAAATTTGTACTAATTCGAGTTTGGAAAAATACTGAGGCTATTGGTCAATTCCTGAGTCCCAACTTTCCTTCAAGTCTACCCCACTTCCGTTTTCTCCTGGCAGGTCAGGAAACCAGAGTTGAGATCATGGGATGGGGCAGCAGCACCTCATGGAGCGTGCTTCTGCTGCGGTTATCCCCACTGTGTGCAGGCCCCTCTGCCACAGGGTGACAGGTCAGCACGCCTTGGCTCACCTCTGTGCTGGCTCACAGTGCCTGCATGACAGGCTCCACATGGCCTTGCTTATTGCCTATCCTGTGACCTACCGTGCTGCCACTCTGCTGCTCCACCTCTTCACTGCTCTGCTGCCACTTCTGGGCAGGGACCAGTAGGCCCACCATGCCGCTTGGCAGCCAAGCAGCAATGTTACTACCATAATGGTAAATCGAAGGTAAGGAATTCCATATCCTGGGGTAATTATCAAGATGACTACTGTTATCAAAAACGTGAGAAATTTAAGGTAGAAGTTCCTATTATGTCCCCACATCACTGACTTGTTTGATCCTATAGAAGATAGATGCATCTTGGAGAAAGAGAGTGGGTCACAGCAAACATATCCTGTTGATAACTCCCATTATACCTGTTGTTCGGTGTGAATTCTCTTTACTGGAACTGTAATGCAGCCCATGGAAGATGAGGACAGATGGTTGGCTCTTGTTCTCTGTATCAGTTTGCAAGCACCATAGTTTGCTTACATCAAGGCGTTTCAACAGCACACCTTTCCACCTTACCTTGGGGTATGCCAGTTTTCCTGATCTCTGCCATGATAGTGTTTGCAGAGGAACCACAACACCTCACTAGATCACACCCTTGAAATCATGCAGAGTGGACCTGATGGGCAGGGAGTAGCAAGTACATAGGAGACTTGGTAAGTTACAAAAGTAAAAAGAAAATTCCATAATATTCAACTTAGTGAAGTTGCTTGGGGTCCTATGCATTTCAACATATACGTATACAACATTTTGAAGGATAAATTGCTACCCTCCAAAATGGAGCACAATGATTGTTAAGACTTTTTGCATTTTGAAGTTATTATATGCTATTTCGGTGTGCTATCTCATATTCCAGTACATTTATCAAGGAGACTCTAAGAGCAACAACCATGAGTGAGGACACCTGGGCCTCATCACCTAAGAATACAATAGTGCTCAAGTATTTATGGCCAATAACAATGTAAAGAGTCCAAATAGGAGAATCTTAGGACAGAACTCCAGCTTCTGAAAAAGAATTATACCTTCTGCACATAACTATTCTTCCTAATAAATAGCTCCTGGCATCCTCTTAGGGATTGAATAACTGGACAGGGGAATCAACTAACTCTGAAATCCTGAGCTGGCTATCATGGATTGAGTACTCTCTGACCTGCCCATCCAAGTGGTTGGCCAAAGAAGCTGCAATTCATCAAGTAGATAGAGTAAACGAGAGGCTCTGAATGACTTGTTAGTGTGTGAGCAGGTAGCTCACACCTGTGACGGATAACCCTGCCTATGTCGTCTCCTCTCCCTCAATCTACACCTCCAGCTTCCTGGGAAGTTCCTTAGGATGAGATGGCTGAGGAGGCCTGCCTTCAGATGGTTCTCTGTGATCTGTTGGTACCAGCCAAGCATGGGCTGTGGTACATGACAACTCCAATACGGAGTGTCCTTGAAAGATACTGGGGAAGGGAAACTCTCCCAGTGGATGGGGCTTGAACAGAACAAATAATTATCACCTTTCTGGACTGGAAAACAGAAGAATTAACACCTACCCCAGTGATTTTCAACAGGGTTCGTTCATCCTCTGTCCCCGAAACTTCAAGAATATTCGATGATGTCAGACATTTTTGATTGTCACAACTATGTAGGGGGTGCTCCTGTCATCTAGTGAAAAGACGTCATTGTATGAGGGTTCTCCAGAGAAACGTAAGCTATGTCTATGTATCAATACACAGATATGTATAAAGAAATTTATTAGGAGAGATAGCTTACATGATTATGGAATTTGAGAAGTCACATGATCTGCCATCTGCAAACTGAAGTCCCAGGAAAACCAGGGGTAGGTCTAGCGCTAAAATGAAGGCCTGAGAGCCAGGAGCTCTGATGTCTCCTGAGAACCAGTAGGAGGGCAGGAGAAGACAGGTGGCTCAGCTCAAGTAAAGAGAGTAGATTTGCCCTTCATCTGTTTTTCTGTTCCTCAGAAAACAGAGGTTTGCTGGGTTTTGTGTCTTTAACACATTGGATGATGCCTACTCACATTCCTGTGGGCTTACCTTTATTCAGTCTACCTATTCAAATGCTAATCTCTTCCGGAAACACTTCAGAAATGCACCTAGAAATAATGGTTCACTATTTATCTGGGTAGCTCTTAACACATTCAATAGACACACAAAAATTAACCATCTAACAGGGATTCTGCTAAACATTTCACAATGTGCACAGGACAGTCTCTTAACAATAAAATTATCTGGTCCCAAATGTCAATGGTGCTACCTACTATTAGGAGACCCTGATCTATACTGATTTATGGGCAGGTGCAAATAATTTACATGGTCAGGAACTTGGAAGAAACAGGGTTCAAAGCTTGACAAGATATATGGTGACAGATGTATGTATATGGGAGATGTCTGAGGACAGATCTGTCAGAGTGTAGGAAGAGTGGGGAGATGTTGGATGCCATGTTTTTGCTCATCAAAAGAATCCTGTGTGAAGGAGACTATTGAGTTTCAGGTGGGCAAGACTGACTGTGCTGTGATTCTAGTTAACCCTTTAGCAGTTTATCTTGATATTATTCAGTAGCCTACATACAAAGGCCCATGGTTGCATGAGGTGTGGAAGGGGGAGAAACAGAGATTTCCTCACTCCAACACTATCCCAGAAAGCTGCCACTGCTATGCTCATGTGACCTTCTGACAAAAGAGACCTCTGTTGTGTCTTGCTGATTACACTGGACCCCTATCAATAGGTACAGTTTGGACTTTGAATGCCCGCAAAAATCCATGTGTTAAAGTCTTGGTCTCCAGTTTGGCACTATTGGAAACCTTAACAGATGGGCTTAGTGGGAGGTTTCCAATCACTGGGCCTATGCTCTCAAAGGGACTTATGGGACTCCTGTTTCTTCCTCTTCATCTCTTGTTTGTATCCAGCTATAAGGTGAATAACTCTACTCCTCCACATGTTTCCTGCTATGATATGCTGCCTGGTTTGCCACAGGCCTAAAGTAACTGGGCCAATCTATCCTGGATGGAAACCTCCCAAACTGTAAGCCAAAACAAACCTTTCCACTTTATAAGTTGATTATCTCATGTATTTGTTACAGTCACAGAAGGATGACTAACACAAAAGGAAAATAATTAGATATGCCCTTTCCTGCATGCCATGTTCCTGCCAAAAAACTGCTATCATGGATTTAAAGAGCACCTTGCTCATCATTCTGGGTTTTATGCTGTGTTGATTCTAAGAATTTCAATTTTACAGCAAAGGGATCATGCACATAGAATTTACTTACTACACATTGCCTCAGAAGCAGCTGGCCTGATAGAGCTTAGGACCTGTCCACTGAAGATAGCTAGGATGCTAGAAGGGAGACAACTCCCTGAAAGGTAAGAGTTCTATCTTCCAGATGCAGTTGATGGTTTGAATCCGCTGCTGCCCTATGGTGGTGTTTATTTCATGACCAAACACAATCTGGGAAATAAGAGGTGGGTGTGTCACCATTATGTCTTATAAACAAGAACCAGTGCTTTCTCTCCCCACACCTGAGGCCTTTTCTGTAGTTCTTAGTTCCCAAGGAAGGATGCTTCAAGCAGGTGGCACAGTGATTTCACCAACTGGAAGGTGAGATCTGGTGATCTGGGGCTTTGCAAGCCACCGAATTAATACAAATAAGGTCACTACTCTATTGGCTGGGTTATTGAACCTATTGTGAATAAAAAATTGATTTGTTTCTACACAATGGAGGCTGAGGGGAAGCTGTGTGAAATCCAGGGGACGTTGGGGGTGCCTTTAATTATATCCATGTCCCCAAATCAAAGTTCACTGTAAACTATAACATTAAAAAAAAAAAAAAGACTTTGTGAGGTCTCAGCCCCTTTAGGAATGAAAATTTGGAGCAGGTAAAGATTCCAGCAAGATAAAGATCCCAGAAGGGTACAAAGGAAACACGGAATGTCCATAGAAGAAGTAAGTTGCGAATTATCAACAACGGGCCGTGGTCAGCTTCTCCTGTTCCAGTTCTGTGGGGTCTGTGGCAGACAGGATATTCACCTTTCTTTTCAGTAAGTGTGTCCATATATATTACGCGTGCAGTTAGCCCTCCATATCTGTGGCTTCTACATCTGTGGCTTCAACATAACTGTAAATCAAAAATGTTCCTGGAAGGGGATGCAGCTCTGTTGGTGGAGCACTTGCCTAGCATGCACAAAGTCCTGGGTTCAAAGCCCAGCACCACAAGAAAACAAATAAACCCTCCAGGGGAGAAAAACATCTGTACTGAACATGTATGGGCAAACTCTTTTTCTTGTCATTATTCCCTAGACAATACAGTGTAACAACTACTTACATAGCATTAACATTGTACAATGTATCTAAGTCTTCCAGAGATGATTCAAAATAGACAGCAGATTGTATTGTCATGAGCAATAGAAAAAAAAAAAAAAAAGACTGTGCTACAATCACTGTTGCTGCTACTATTTTTCTTCTTCTTCCCTTTAAGTTTTCTTTTAATTGACAAATAACAATTGCATGCATTTATGAGGTACAATGTGATGTTCTGAAATCTACTTACAATGTGGACTTATATCTCAATCTAATAAATAGATTTACCTATAAAAAATAAAAAAAATAAAAGAGACAGCAGGAGATCTGAACGTTATATTCAAATTCTATGCCATTTTATATAAGTGACTTGAATATTCTCAGGTTTCAGTATTTGTGGGGGATCCTGGAACCAGTCTGAGGGACAGCTGTGCATACAAACATACATACTAAACATACATACGTGCAAATATGTGTGTGTGTGTTTGTGTGTGTACAGACACACACACAAGGCACCTGCTATTTCTTTTTGAATCCATTGCCAGTGTTGTCCTAGCAACAGTCCTTCCCTTGCTAGTTACAGTTTGATCCCATTTTGTTTTTTTTCCACATAGAAGAATTTGCCACATCATGCCCCCCTCAGAGATACCAGCAACCCTTGCAACCCTCTTCAGAGATCTGAGTTTAGCTCTGTGAGCTAAACTGGGCTCTTCAGGCAAGAGTTCCAGCTAGCAGGGCTCCTTCTTCACAGGTCTAAGTCCCATTCTGTGGAGTCCCCTCCTCTCTGCTCACAGATCTCTCTCTTTTTGTTCAGTTCTGGGGATTGAACCCTCAGGCTGCACACATGCTAGGCAAGTACTCTATCCCTGAGCTGCATCCCCAGATCCTGATTGAAGCTTTTAACTACTAGACTTCTTTGCTCTGCCCCTGCTCTGAGATAAAGCTGCCTCTGCAGGCTTTTTCTCCACGTGAACTCTGTTTCCTTTTTGTGTTTTGCTCCCCTGATACCTGCTTAGGCCAGTTCTCCCATAAATTCTCTGTGTTAAAATAACTCAGGTGACTTCTGTTTTCCTAAATGACACACAGATTCCTTGATATAGTGGAGAAGAACTTTGAATCCCTCATTTTATAGAATAGAAATCAGAAGCTAGGAGGTGAGAGACACCTTTCTCAAGGTCAGTTTCACAGCCAGACTTTCTGTCTCCCAATCCAGCACCCCTACCATTATTCTGCAGTCTCTCAAGCACCTTTCCAAACTTCAAATGGAATAACAGGCTTTTAATGTGGGGTTCTCTGCCTGTCTCACAGAACTAAAAATAGTCTCATGTTTCTTAGTGTTAAAGAACATCAAAGCCAGAAATAGATGATGTTTTATGGGACTTAACATGATCCTAGGAATGTGTAGAGTCATTGCTCCAGTGAATGCCACAGGCCAGCTGAGCATCTTTCTGATCCTTCCTTCAACTGTGCTAATTCACCCTCCCTCTACTTCTTGGAAATGAGATGAAACCATATGTATCAGCTTCCCCAGACTGTGAGCTCCTGCTAGCAGGGGCCTTGCCCCATCTCCAGGTGGCAGAATACCGCAGTGTGTTCTGTAGCTGGGAGCACAGGTTCTCAAGTCAGGCAAACCTGAGCCAGAATTTTTGCTTCATGACTTACCTTGCCAAACTTACTCTTCTCATCTACAAGATGGGAGTTTGATTTTGAACTGACATGGCTGCTGCATGGAGTGAATTCTACCACACGCAGAATGTGCCACACCCCACAGTGGCCATTCAGTGCATGAGGCACTGTCATCATCACATCTGTCCCTGTCCCAGCACTGAACATGGTGCAGGGCACACAGCGGGCCCTTGTTCTGTGGTTGTGTTTGGGTCCTATGCTCATCACACCCACCTGACACAGGCCTGTGGCCCTGGAGCCCATCCCCAGCCTTTCCAGGAAGCCTCGTCCTTGGTGCCTCTTCTTCACAGAAAAGTGTGCAGAAATACCAATTCACGATAAATTGCATCTCATCTTCTGTGCTTCTAGCTGTTGTCCTTGTGCTTCTTGCTGCAACGTCTGGTGATTACATGTTAAGGAAAATTCTACTCATTTTTCATTCTGGTGGAAAGTGTCATGTGCATTTTAAGGAGAGAACCATTATTCCTCTTGTATGAGCAAAACTGTGATAATGGAATTTACATCTCATCCGGCTAGAAAAACACTTCTCCCCTCCATTGGTGTTGGGGATGCCTATAGACAGATGCCTCTTCCTCTTTGGTCATAAAGCTTTACTTTGATGGTATTTTACCAAGAACACAGGTGTAAGTGGGCAAATAATTGGACCAACCAATGCTTTACAAACATGTTAATTTTATTGGGTAGGCATCAAAGCTTCTCTCTCTGTCAAGTAATGGAGAAGCCGTGTCACACGGATTACAGAGCTATTTTTACTTGAAATAATCTTTCATAAAAGAAAGAAATTAAATACAGTTCTTCTATAAAAAGTGCAGTAGTCATTACTGGAAGTTTTCCAAAATGAAAGCAAGATTTACTATATATTGCAAAAATTGGTTTAGTGCTTTAATACTTTACAAAGTAACAACCCAACCACCAAAGACAGCTCTTACAATGGGTTTCTTCTCCAAGAATGAACCAGATGGAAAATAATATTTGCATTGAATCGGAATTAACACTCATAGGTAGAAAAGGGTTCTGAACAGCTTGGTCAAAGTAATGTGATTTATGACCCATTTTTTGCCTCAAATATTTTCCTTTATCCACTGTAATCAAATAAATAAGGAAAAGCAACTTATTTCATCCAGGAATCAGTCAATTAAACAACAACCAAAAAAAAAAAAAGAAAGAAAAAAGAAAGAAAGAAAGAAAAAGAAGAAAAGAAAAGATAAAGGAAAATGAGAACAATATTTCTACTGACATCCTTAGGTCAAATACATGTTTAAAGGAATAAAGAAAATACAGGGTGAGGAGGTCCTTTTAAATTATTATAAATGACTTTGATGAGCCTCAATTATAACGGATGAGACTGAACAGTTCATCAGAAATGATGTTGAGTGGATTTCAGGCTCTGCAGATGAGGCAGTGGTTGGTCACCAAGGAGATTTGTCCCTGCTTGGACTCAGGTGAGCCAATGCCCTGCTCCTAAGTGTTCCTTTATTTGATGACTGAGAGCCCAGCATTTCTCACCTGGGTGTGTGGGAGGGGCAAGCTCCTACTGAATGGAGACTGGCTCTGGCAGAGGGCGTTTGCTTCTGTGTGGACCAGGGCCTAAGACATGGCTGATATCCAACACGTGCACTTGGTGATTTTACTTATTTTGAACTTAAGTGAGTAGACACAAGCTGCTCCACTCCCACTTGCCAACTCATAATACTAAAATAGGTGCTTCAAATCAGGAAGGATATATGCAAAGAGCCGGACGGCCCACAGGGCTTGGGAGACCTCTGTGGGTACCTGCTACAGAGACAGCTCTGTGTGGGCCAAGGACACGGGCCTTTGGAAAGCATACTTCCTTTCTCTGGGTCCTGGCAGGAGCATATCCCAGGCTGTTTGGGCAGTAACAAAAGGGACGTGGTTTATTTGGCAATTTAAATGCAGGGACACACACATGTTCCCACTCCCTGCTGGACAGCTGCACAGAGGGTGTTACAAAGAGAACCAATCCCCTGAGAGACCCCAAAAGATGGCATCCAGAGAAATGAAAGCAAAAACCATGGAAGAGGAGTAAAGAGGATGAAGCCTTTTAACCAGGACACAGCAGGACAAAGGTTCTATAAGCAGCTGGTAACAGTATTTTGCCAAAAACTCTTAGAGGAAAACATATTTGGCCAAAGGATCTGGAAGTAAACACCAATCACTATTAGGTAGTTGTGAAAATCATCTGGCAGAGGGAGGCAGCTCAGAGGGGGATCATCCCTCCTCTGCTGTGGGTGAAGTCGCTTGAGGACCACCGCTCTGGGGCCTGGGCCCAAGGAGGTGTATGTTGTTTGGCTCTGTGGTGGGAAGGCTCTGACACTCCACTGCACACCAGCAGTGACTGAGTCTTGGGGAACTTGGCTCTCTCAGCTCTCTGCTGTTTCCACATTTGTCAACATAGCTACCCACCCCTGTGCCAGTTATTCTGTGTGACAAGTTCCTTTTCCTTTGTTGCCCTGCTTTTTGGTGACTGAAGAATGGGTTTTCTAGTTGTCAGGATCCCTTTGCTTGGCTGGACTATCCATTGCCACTGTTTATGGGTTAGAAAGAATTAAGAGATACCTAAGGATTGCTTATAAAGGCTTCTGTAGAATGGTCCAGGTCTACAATGACATCAAGGAAGGACATGATGGGTGCCCCTCACAGTGCATCTGATTATAAGAACTAACCAGGAGGAAACAGTTCCAAAGTTCCTGACCCATAGAGCAGATGTTCAGAGTCAGAGACAGGCTACTGCTGCCACCAGGTGGATAAACTCACTACCATATCTAGCCTTCTTGTACTTGTATGCAGGAGAAGGAACCAAGCCATTTAATCAGCTAACAGTCTCCGTAAGTAGGGACAGCAGAAGAATTTGGACTTCTTTTTCTTTTTTTTTTTTTTTTTTTTTTTGGTGGTGCTGGGGATTGAACCCAGGGCCTTATGCATGTGAGGCAAGCACTCTATCGACTGAGCTATATCCCCAGGTCCAAGAATTTGGATTTGATGATGGCCAAAATTGACATTTATTTTTGGCCTCTTAATAGCTATCAAATTACTGATAGCATTTCCTTTCTTCAATGTATATTTATCCAGTGTCTAATAGGTATTAGGCACTGTTATAGGTGCCAGCATACAGCAGTAAGACACACATGAAGTCCTGCCCACATGGAGCTTACATTCTATGGAAGCTTGGTGGATGTAATAAATGGATCAATGAATAATTCACACATGCAGTGCTCAGACAAGTGCACAAGAGGAAGATGCATGGGGAAGTGGGTACAGTGGGTGGGATGTGTTATGTTTTTAAATCAAGAAAGCAAGGAAAACCTTGTTGAGGGGTGCATTGGCGCAAAGACTGACAGGTAGTGAGGTGTGAGTAATGGGCTCTCTTCAAAGAGGCTGTCCCAGGTAGAAGAGATAGCACATGTGAAGGCCCTGAGGCAGGAAGGTGACTGTTGATTAAAGATGGCCTCAGTCTCTGGGCAAAGACATACACGGGTGGGAGTAGTCTTTGTAAGGTCTTGGTTTTTGTTCTGTGATGGGAAGCTAGTTCTTCATTTAATGTAGTCCTTCAGTATTTGGAGATACATTCTGAAATAGCTACTTGTCCTTATTACATTAACAGATTGCTTTGGTCTTGGGCAGATTCTGCCTATATTTACCCTTCAAACCAACTGGTACTCCTCATCTGGTGTCAAATTAATAGTTGGTATGTGTATATATGTATCTCTTTGAGATGCTCTTCGGGAGGAATAAAAAAGAAGCAATATGCATCATTTGGTATATACAGTTAGGGTTGGCAGGACCCAGTTTATTTACTTATTTATTTTTTGCAAGTCTAAAATTCTAAAAATGCAAATTTCAAAAAATTATTTTGGAAAATAAATAGAAAGTCACATTTCTAGTGTATCTGTAGATAATGGCTTCTGTGCTGTTCCTGTGAGTATGTTTTCGGCTCAGCCTGAAATTCTCTGCACTGATTAGATGCATGCCTGGCTGCTCCTGGGGTGGGGGGGTGTCCCCGTAGGGCATCTTCTCTCTTCTCTGTTGGGGTTGGAGTAGGACGGAAGAATGAGACTTGGGAAAGTTACCTGCATACCTGCTAATAGACCATCTTGCACACTGCTTATAGCTGTCATGAAAATCTCATAAAACAGTAACCCCTGGGCCTCTGGGGTGCATATGGGGGCCCTCAGCATCGCAAGTATGGGGCAGAGTCTGGGTGTGTGTTGGTCTCTCTAGGATGAACTACCCTGGCCCCACCTCCCTGATAACTAGGTGATACTACACAACCACCTTCTGGGCCAACAGGATCAGTGCTGCAGAATGGACAAGGGCAGTGGGGTGGATTGGATTTAAGCAAGAATGAAGTTGAGGTCCCTGCCCTGAAGAGCCACACCAGAATGGCCATTATATTAGAAAAGAGAGGTCAGAGTCAGGAGTAACAGGGAAGTGGGAAGAAGTCTCCAGAGAGCCAACACTTTAAAGCTTTTTGGAAGGGGCTGCCTGCTCTCTGGAGCCAGGAGCACCGGCCACCTTTGGGCCCTTTGTACATGCCTATCTTGAAGTGACAGAAGAATCAGACTCTCAGTCAGAGCAGGTGCTACCTCTGTAGCCCAATGGGGCCAAGGCCACAGCTTGACTGTGGCTCAGCCACAGAAACATATCGAATTTTTATTTATTAGAAGTACTGGAAGAAATGAACAGAATGCTGGAGGAACTTAATTTGTGAAGTCCCCACTAGGTGGGGAGTCTCAAACATCCAGTTGATGCCTTCAACATGTCTCAGTAAACAAAAAAGACTCATTAAATGGAACTTACACACACTGGTTTGGAAGTCTTTTTTCTTTCTTTCTTTGCAAAAATTTCCCATCATTCATAGGTACAGCCCTTTTTTAAAGAAAACAAACTAATATGACATATATTTGCTAGATGAAGTTTGTATTTGGATAATAAGCAGGGGGCAGTGAGGCACCCACCATCCCTCCCCTCCCCCTGCAAGACATGGGTGGGTGGCACATGGAGGATTTTGACATCCTGAGGTGTGCACCTGGGGATGCGGAGAGTCTTTTTATCTCATGCCACCTAATTTCTGATAGTAAACCAGTAGAATTAATAAATTATTTTGGAAAACATTAAATTTGTAAAGTAAGGGATTCAAATGACACTGTGTAGTAATAGCTAAGAAAAGGTCCAGAGTAACTTAGTGAATATAAAATATTCAGGAAAGGTGCAGTACGAAAAACCTATGAACAGGAAAAGGAAAATAAAGCTCTCAATTAAAAAAGAAAGGACATTTATGCATTTCTGCTTTCAGAGGGTATTTGCACAAACAGCAAAAAGCACTTAAATCCCAAGAGCCCAGAGTGGTGTCCCTTCCCACAGCAAGTTACCCTTTTAAGGGACAACCCTGTGACAATAATGGTGCAAAATATTGCTCTGTGGCATGTTCTGAAAATAATATAAAAATAATCTCTATAGTACAGTTTAAACTTGACTTGTAAAATTTCAATGTAACATTCCACGAAATCCACAAGCAGAATACACTGAAAAACACCTTCCCTTAAGAATATTTTTTTTAAAAACTGTTTACCCGGGTAAAGCATGTACAGGAAATGTGAAGTAAATTTCTGAAATAACCTCCACAGGAGCTTAGAAGTATCTGGGATCCTTCTGGAAACATGCTTTTTGTTGCTCAGAGATATCCATCCATCCTTCATAGAAAGGGAAGTTTGGCCAGATCAGATGGGTAAGCAGCTCATGGTCAGAGTCTGCCATGGCACAGGTGGCACTTGCCTTCTTCCCTTTTCCTAAACTACAAAGGGCCCACAAACCATAGAAGAATATTAGAGAATTTCATGTACCACATATAATTAACACAGCTTTTAATAGTTCCTGCCCCAAGCCAGAACTAAGAGGGCCTTTGGCCAGAGACCAAGTCTAAAGAGCTCTTGTGAACAACCTGGAGCATGATGTGGGTGCTCAGGTCTAGAACATTTCATATCACAATCTACTCTTTCACTTTTTAATTTTTAAACTCTGTTTAAAGGATGGTTCTCTCAAAAAAGAAAATGGTATTCTTAAATTGTGTGGACTGAGTTGTAAGGTGGCAGCATGGAGCAGGCACCAATAGGTGCCTAGGCTTATCTAGCTCACCCTGTGACCAAGCAGAGGGACTAGAGGCCTTTCACATGGCCAGAGAAGCCAAAGTCACAGTCAGAGGCTATATCCCAGGCTCTCATTTATGGCACATCTGTCATCAAATGGAGGTGGGGTGGAGATAACTTGGCAATGCAAGCACACAGAACACGTCCTCATTTTTTTTTTTGATAATACATATATACTACTCTGCCTGTTTAGAAGGTTTTCCTTTATTACAATGAACTGCTTTTAGTTTCAGTTTGTCTTTTTGTTTGAAATATGGATGAGAGCATGAAAAAGATGAGATTTGCATAGCCAGTTTTGGAAATTTCTAGTTGGCTGTCTTAACATTAAAAAATTGAAAAAAATCTGAGTATTTATATTCCTTAATTTTTTGTGCATGAGTTTGGTTGCTGAATGCACATTTAAGCATTTTTAAGGTTGGCTCTCTTAACCTTCTAAGGATAAGGAGCATAAGCAGGTGCTATCTACACTGGGAGCAATACTTTCTGTGACCCACAGCTTTGGAAGGTGAAGTAGCTGTTCAGAGTGATGTGATGAAAGGAACCAGTCCAAAAAAGCTGCCACAGACCCTCTCAATGAGAGATTTTTTTTAAAACTACTTTTTTTTTTCTCTGAGTAATAAAAGAAACCCAGTACTATTAGGGAGGTGGATGCTAGTAATTATCTCACATTGAAAGTATTTTCATCAGCATGAAAAGTAAAACTTTGAAAAAAGTCTTAAAGATTCTATTTAATAAATAATCTGATCTAAGGAACCACTTCTGCAAAACTTCAATAAATTACTGAAAACTCTACGGGCTGTGGGATAATTAAAAACAAAAAATAATTACTCACAGGAGATATACTCAGTTATTTTATTATAATTTTTCAAACAAGTAAAAAAATTCCCTCCCCATCTTTTTTAAATTTTTATTTACTTATTTAGTTTTTTTTGCTTTTGCTGCTCTTTATGTCACAGGGAAAAAGCATCCTTTCAGGAGAAGAAGCTGGCCCCAATGAAGAGATGACCCCCCACCCCCACCCCATTGCTCCTGAATTTTCTGAGGATAAGCTGACTGGAAGCCAGGTGCTTTCTCCTTTCTTTCTTTAGGATTATCAGAGACTATTCTAAAGCTCTCACAGGTTTGGAAGTATTAGTTTGTGAGGATTTTGCCCATCTTATCCTTATTTCCTGGAAACAAGCTCTTTTCTTAGTGAGGCAGGTTTAGCTCCTCAGTGTCCTTGGCCAAGAATGGTAGTCTCCAGAGGTAATCTTGGAAGGAAAAGGCTGCATATTGCTGCTCAAAACAGGGTAGCTAAGGACACATTTTTTTTTTTTTTTTTAATTTCCTCAAGAAATGTAGGAGGCACCAAAAAAGACGGCTCGGATATCGGGCTGTTCCCTCAATGTGTTATGAAGCCAGAGGCAGGACCATTCCTGCCTTGTGGATGGGCCCCAATCACAGTGAGCCCCATTACCTGGCTGAACCCAGACAGATGCAAGTGAGGTGTGGGGTGGATTTGCTTCCTTACCAGGAGCGGGCATCCTTCAGCCCCTTCTCTTTGGAAAGAGGGCCAGGCCGGGTTTCAAAGCAGCCTAGTAGGGGCTTACACAGTTCTTTGTCTCTCTTCTGGGTCACAGAAGTGCTATCACCTTATAAGAGGCCCTCCAGCGACAGTCCACTGTGGAAGTGTCTTCAAAGGAGAAATGTGAGCAGGCTGTCATGTTTGCTCTTATTTAGGCCAATCCAACTTGTGAGTTCAGAACCTTGTTTTATGGACCCATGGTGTCTTTGGAAAAACTCCTGGCACCTGAGCTGCCCGGCACCGGGATAGATTAACTACACCTCACCACGCCCTGCGAGGTAGGTTTTCTGGTGCCCACTCTACAGTCCCCCGCGGCTTGGATGGCAGTGTGAATGTTGCTTGAGACGAGGGTTGTGGGAGTAGGTTTTGCTTATGAAAAGGAGCCGTGTATTCCTAAAGGGCCATAGTGACCACTACAGCGTCAGCGGGCGGCAAGGTCCCTGCTTTCTCCAAGAACCTGGGTGGGATGGAAAGCAGGTGGGAGCCGCAGAGGAGCCTCCACCCCAGTCCGGGACTGTGCATTTGCTCCTAAACCCTGGGTGCTACCAACCGCACGCAAGTGACCGCTACCTGGAAGAGGTCAGTCGCTAGGTTAGGAAAAAGATGAAATGAGAGGGGAAAAAAAGCATGTAAAACACTCCCTTCTAAAAACAAAGGGCTGCGAATTTCTTTATTTCTCTTATAGAGGAACAAAAATACTCTTGCAATGGCTATTGAGTTTCCACAGGTACGAGGCAGATGCTAGGCTAGCACACCCACTTCCAACAGTATGACTTGTTTCCTATCCGTCTACTACCTGAGTGGCGTCAGTGTAGGTTCAGGCACCATTAGGAACGTTTGACCAAACACGTACACGGCACTGACAGAGGAGGCGCCGGCCTTTCGGTTGACCAGAGCATGTAAAAAAGACACCGACAGAATGGAAAAGAAATCCTTTTGGGGGAAACCTCGCCGCCCGCACACCACGCGCTCAGGGCCGTGGCCCGCGTGCCTCGCGCCGCCGCCGCAGCTCCTCGCGGTAGCAGTACGAGCAGTAGTGCTCCGTCTCTGCGCGCCCATAGAACGCACAGTTCTCGCGCTGGCAACGCCGCTGCGCCGGCCCAGGGCCGCTGCGACCGCACTCACCGTTCGAGCTCGAGCGTGCGGCTGGCGGGTCGGCGTCTGCGAACTCTAGGCCTTCGCGTGTAGCGCCAAAGCCATTTGTATAGGTCTGCGATTTGTGCTCGGCTGCTGCCGTGGCTCCTGTGACGCCGGGGAGGGTGGTGGGCACAGCGCGCGCAAGCGACTCAACCGTATTGACCGTACGCAGGGCAGCGGCCCGCGCAGGGCTGTAGCTCTGTGAAGACAGCGAGCGGTTCTGCTGCGGGTACGTGGCGCATGGCCGTAATGCGCCCACGGTCGGTGCACAGGCCTCGTCCCGGGCACCCGCTGCCTGCACGTGGATAACGCTCTGGCGCGCTGGCGCCGGCGGGCTTCGGCCAGGGGTCTGTCCGCTGGCGCCTGCACGCCGGGTGCCGCCGCTGCTAGGAGAGGCGGTGCCGCCCGCTGCCACCCTTGCGGCCCGCGAGCCCCCAGCGGACCCTGGACTCGGGCGCTCTTTGAGCTTAAGCACCAGCTGCGTGGGCTGCCCGGCCGGCGGGCCCGGAGAGGCACGCTCAGTTCCAGGAGTGCCCTCGGCCTCTGGCCTGCGCTGTGGCCGTTTGGTCGTGGAGGTGGCAGCGGCGGCGGCGGCGGCTGCATTGGCCGCGGCGTCGCGGCGCCGCTGCTCCTGCTCCGCACTGAAACGCTCCTGCGCGCTGGTCAAGTAGTAGCCAATCATTTCCTCGTGGAACTGGTGCCGGTGGCTGGTGAGCAACAGACCGGCAAAGATAAACTTGCGCTCGCCTTGCATGGCAGCGCGCAGAATGTTGAGGCTCAGCTTCACGTCAGTGCTATACTTCCAGGCGTCACCCCTTGTCCCGCCTCCCTTCTCGGCCGGGGATGAGCCTGCCGCTTTGTCCGTGGGCGACGGCGTGGTCTTCTCTGACGGCGATGTGCTTGCTGATGCACCGGATTCCTCTTTGCTGCCTTTGCGAGACTTGGTCTTCTTTTCCTTGGTGCGCTCGGCTGTGTCTCCGTTCTTGCCATTTGCGGAGTTGGCACGGCCCATCTTACCGTGTACCAGGCCTCCCAGGCCACCCATGTTTTTCTTTAGCTTGATGCCCAGGGTCTTGCTGAAGCTGCCTAACTTGTTGGCCACCGAGTCCGCTCGGGTCTTGTCCTTCTCTTTGCGCTGTTTCTCCTTGTCTTTGTCTTTGCCATTCTTGCCATTATTGCTGTTGGAATTGCTGCACACGGAGTCACGATCTGAGTCAAGGGAATCGGCCAGGGACTGCACATCCTCCCCAGCTGATGCCGTTGGGGACTCTGGTTGCGCCAGGGGAGCCTAGGGGCAGAGAAGAAAAGTGGGGAAGGAAGGTGGTTGGAGAAGAGCTGTCCTCACTGCAGTCCACGAGGACAGACCCTGCCCATGTGTTGCTTTCCCATGTGTTGCTGAAGCTGGGAATCTGGCACTTAGGTCCAGTCCAGACTACCCCTCCAGTGCTACAAAAGTGGGATGGGATGTGCTTAAGGGAAAGAAGCCCAGAGGAGTGGGCCTTGGTTTTCTGCAATGATGAAAAGATAGGTGTTTTCAGAAGGCTGTGGTAGGGGTCTTTTATCTAAGGATGCCATCTGGCCAGTGAGGCTGGACTGCCCTCATTTTCTCTCTGAATTCAGAGACCTAAGAGTTTAGAATCCTGAGTCAGATGGGAGTGGGGGAATGCAGGCAGGGTACATATAACCTACCTGGCTTAGAGCTTTAGAGTCATAGTTAGGGTTAACAAGCCCAGACTTTGGCTTTCTATCCCTGGCCAGACTATCTTGCTCTAAGAACCTGTCTTTGCATCTTGGAAAAAACACTCCCTTGATTTGGTGATGACAAATCACTTTGGGGGTTCCTTTCCCAGTTTGGAAATGTGGAATGCTAATTTGAGAAGTATTCTGAAATAGGTCTGGGCTCAGTAGAAAAGATGTTCCCAGTTCCCAGAAAAGGTCTTCTATGGGGGTGTGAAGTTGGGTGGGGGAACACTAGGGAAAGAGCATCTTTGTGAACACCTTGGATGACAACCACTGTGGAAACATGGTTAAGACCAATCTCTGGGGCAGGTGAGGAACCTGAGAAGGAGCTGAGAGGACGGTGGAGGAGAAGTAGCTCCTATTGCTGATTTGCAGAGGGACATCCCCAGGTGAGGAGAGAGAATGCTGACCCAATGTCACTGGAATGGCAAGGCCCCTCATGCCAGCATCTGGGTGTGGCAGAACTGGTATATACCTCAATAGGCTTCCTGGCCTCCAAAGGAGCCCAAGAGAAGGCTCATTGCTCCCCATTTAGTTTTTTTCTTTCCCCCTAAGTAGGTTGAAGAGAGGGGTCACTGTCCTTTGGTCAGGTCTCCCAAAAGCAAGGGCTGGAAGAACTGGCTTCACCACTTCCCATGTCTCAAGCCAGTTTTCCATAGACACTAAAGTGTGGAAGTTCAGGGCCTAGAACCAGGAAAGGGAGAGATGCTTGGTCCCAGGACTGCCTGTGGGAAATACAAGAAGGAATTTAGGCTGTCATGTCCTGGGGCTGACAGGGCCATTATTAGAATTTTTCTACTGAGAACTCTGTGTTTGATATGGTGGCCACCAAATCCTAGCCAAGGGCCCTTCTCATTGCAGGGCAGAGATATGCCTGGACAGAGTCCTGATTCTGGATCTAGGATTGCTGCCATCATACCAGAACGTGAGTGCTGAAGAATATCTGCAGCAACACTGGCATCCTCCAGGCAGTTCAGAGGCAGGACTCAGACTGCTACCAACTGGCTGTCACTTGTGCCATTAATAAAATGGAATATCAGTAGCTGCCTGGGGATCTCTATGAAGTAAGGAACTGTGAGAGCACTGAGCAGTGCCCAGCACCCCAAGAACTGACTCTTCCAGTCTACTTGCTTTCCTCATCCCACTCCTTTAACATTACTGATAAGCTCCACTTGATGCCTAAGTAAATTGATATCTAGAGAGGACCAATGATTTGCAAGGTATTTTTTTTTAATCCCTTCCCCTGGGAGTTCCCTACTAAGATTAAAAAAAAAAAGAAGAAGAAATTAGTCAGATACTTAACATGAATCTCAGCATCTGCAAGCAGGGGCGGCAAACCCCAGGGCTGGCAGCTTTGAGGGTGATGCGCTGCCTCCAGAGAGAAGGAAGAGGAGGGGCCACTGAGGACTTGCACCCTCGGTTCCCTGGCTCTTCCAAGGACCCACACACAGTTTATAATTAATTCCACTCCCCTGCAGCACATTGTGTTCTGATCTCAACAGAGATAGTTTTGTTGTGACTTGCCTAGAGTTTGTTTTCTGAGGCATGCTTATACCTCTCCCATAGAAAATAAGGGGACAAAAATCCCCTAATCGGAACGCATGTTTGCATGCACACATACACCCACCTACACACATATACCTATACCCCTGATCCAACAGGAGTTGTCTGGAGCTAGAGCCAGGGTGGCTTTGGCTGGGACAGAGGGAGCTGGGGGCAGGGCTAGTGGGGCTTGGTATGGGCAGCTGGATGGCACATGGGTGAGCTTTTGGTAGCATTTGGAAGGATGCCCATTGGCCAGGATGGCACAAAGCGGCCACCACCTCTTTACCAGGAGTACATGAGGCTCACCCGGGTCTCTGAAGGGATCCGGATCCATGTCACATTCATATAGCTGTGGAGAAGGTTCAGCTTGGCTTCTAGCGACAGGATGAGGCTGACAAGACAAGAACACTGAGTGAACACAGCTGGTCCAGTCTTGCACCCCACCCTTCTGCCCCCAAGCTAGGAGGCACAGGGGCGGTCCAGCCCTGCCCTGGGAAAACCTCCTTAGTACAGCCCTCCCTTTGGGGTGCCAGGGGAGTCAGGTCAGGGGACAGTCTTACTGGGCTAGCCGGGCGTTATCATTGTCGTCTTTCCCCCACTCCCAGTCCTTCCCTGGGTCCACCGCGAAGTGCAGGGGTAGGAGCTTGTGCTCAGAATCTGTCAGGGGGATCACAGCTGGAACAGAAGAGAGAGACCAGGTGCCAGGCAGCCCACTGGTGGGTCAGGAGCCTGGAAGCCTCCAGCAACATCCAGGGAGGGCAAAAAGGGAATTCCAGTGCCAGGTGTCCTTGTTGTAAATGAACCCAATGGAGACACACACAGACCATCATGCCAGTAGGATAGTTAAGACTATAGGTTTCAAAACTGATAGTGTTGGGGCTGGGGTTGCGTGGCTCAGCAGTAGAGTGCTCGCCTAGCACGGACGAGGCCCTGGGTTCAATCCTCAGCACCACAAATAAATAAATAAATGGCATTGTATCTAACTACAACCAAAAAATAAATATATTTAAAAAAACTGAACTCTGGGTCTCCTTGGGCTTGTCAAATGGCATGTCCTCCATTAAGCATCAGGGTGGGAAAAAAATTGATTTCTGCTTGTTATTTCTGAGGAAGGACCAGGCAGGTGAGGTATACTGTGTAAGGACACTTTGCAGATGGCCTGCTCCTCACCTCCGTCTCATACTAGAGATGGAGAGTGCAAATTAGAAGAGAGTGGACACTGCTGACCTCTGCTCATTTGCGATTTCATGCAATAGGACTGTATCAGTACCTGAGTCTCAGGGATCCACTGGGACCTGCTCATAGGGAACTCACCCATGCAGGACACAGATAAGCAGGTTAACGAACACCTCACTTCAAAATGTCAGGTGGTGATGAGTCTGGGAAAGAAGCCTAACCAACAGGCAGAAGGCAGTGATGGTGAAGCCTTTGCGGGGCATAGTGAGGGAACCTTTGAGGAAGTCACATGTATTGGGGGACTGCAGTAAGGAGTAACTGGTTTGTCATTTCTCAGAGGGGTTGATTCTTCACACACCATCTTGAATAAAGAGCTCCAAATGTGGAAAATCAGGAGGGCGAGGAGAGGGGTGATGTCTATAATTATATTTGGGATTTGCTAGGAGATCCTGAGCTGCTGTTCTATCCAGTGAAATCCTAATGATACAGCCAATTACACAAGAGTATTGTCATAGATGAGAAGCAGGAAGGAGTGGGGAGACAGCTTTCCCAATTCTGTATTCCAACTGAGTGACAGCATCCTTCTGTGGAGGCTTCACTTAGTTTTCCTGTAGGCCCCATTCCTGGGAGTCGTAGCAGAGAAATTCACCCCAGGGCCTCTGGACATCTGCTTTGTTTTTTTGCCAGAGTCCATGATTCATGCTAAGGGTGCCATGGCAAGAGCAAAAAGGCAATTAAATACATAAAATCTAAGACTGAACTATGAATAGTAGCTTTTCTGTTTAGAAATTGGAAATTTGACAATGCTGCCCTCTAGTGTTGCTAAAGAGAAAATGTGAGCACAAATATTCTCTTCCCTCCTTTCTCATCCCCACCCTAAATAAGGGGAAAGCATTGACCAAGAACCCGCTCAGGGGTTTTCATTTAATTTGGCAGTAAAATGTCTGGTTTGGGAGATCGGGGTGGCTCAGCCTGCCTCTGTTGCAGGCTGCTGTGTTCTATCTTGACGTGGCTGCCCTTCCCAGGGCTGAGCTTCTGGGTGGACACACCCAGGGAGGACTAAAGAGCTGGCTCAGAAACAGGCCTCCTTTGGGTGATGCCCAGAAGCCTGTCCCATGGTTCCATGAGTCATCACACAAACAGAGAGGGCTTGGCCTGTTTTTCCCACCCATAGGGCTGGGGGTGGGTGGCAGAGGCTCTGTCTATCAACACTGTTTTTAGAATGGCTAGAGCAGCATGGCTTTCTGGAGTTCCAGGTCCTCAGGCATAGATGGCCAGTTTGGGAAGAGTATTCAAGAACTACATTTTAAATAAACATCCCCTGTTCGTGAAATCAGACAATTTGGGAAAATATTGTTTCAGACAATAATGTGTTCAAAGCAGTTCCTATGGTTACAACTTGGGCATTTCAGGTCTGGCTGTTCTCCCCTTTCCTGAGGGTAGAGTTGCCATTGGAAATACCCATCCAGCCACAACTACATTCCTCAGTCCCCAGGCCCCCAGCATTTGGGAGGAAACAGGTGCCTTGCTGTACCCATGGGCTATGAGAAAAACAACATGGGAAGTGCTGGGGGATGTGACTAGGAGTGTGTGTGTGTGTGTGTGTGTGTGTGTGTGTGCGCGCGCGTGCGCGCGCACGCGCCAGGGGGCTCTCCTCCTTTTCCCTTCTCTATCCATGCTTCCTGCAGGAGATGGTGGTACTACATGATGGCAGCCATGAACTCCCGACTCCTCACTTAGGGAAGAACTGCCTGCCAATCAGAGCACAGTTTAGATTTTATTTGCACGAGACCCCTACTTCCATTATGTTATACCACTATGATTTTGGCTTTCTCACCACTCTCCAAGATAAACCACTTAAACTAGGACAGCTCCATACCCCTGTGGCCCTTACCTCCCTATTATGGGGGAATTCCTATCCTCAAAGTTGGGCTGGAACCAACTCCCTGGCCTGCCCACTACTGAGCAGACAGACCGATATACCTGAAGGTGCTACTTCCTGCCCACTTTGAAGGTTCTAGGCAGCCTCTCAGGTTTTGATGGAGCAAAGGTTAGGTACTGAGTGAGGCGCTGGGAATATGCGTGCTCACAATTAAAAACAACCAGAGAATAAATGAAGTTATCTGATCTCTACAGAAAGTAAGCTGTGGCCCGTTGAAAGGACTGGGGTCTCAATGTCCTGAGAACTCAGAAAACAGACTCTCTTTCTGAACATCAGTTGCTTTGAGTGCCTCTGCCTTTCACAGTGCACAGTGAAATTTCCCTTTTGGAAACCTGGCCTAACCTAATGAGGCGTAGTCATGTGGCCAGTTGCCTCCTAGTGGCAGATGTTGAGAATAGCAAATGCTTTCCAAAATAAGCCTGCAAAGTTTTGTTTTAAAAATAACTTTTTCCCCAGACCTGGGGATGGAACCAAGGGCTTTACACACAATAGGCAAGTGTTCTACAACTGAGCTACATACCAGCCCAGTTTGGGGGGATTCTATCCTGTCTTTTAGCCTGGAAACACATAGGACCATCTCAAACTAGCATGGACATATTTGGAATACTTATTTTTCAAAAAAGAATGTATATTTCTATTTGAGGCATAAAAAGCTGTCTCACCATTACAATGCTAAGTCAGACAAACTGAAGATTCATAGCTTGTCTTTAAAGCACTGGAGAGCTGAAGTCATGGGAGATCCAATGAACCAGAAATGTAAAGAAAGACAGAGACTTCAAGGAGAGATGAACATGAGCTTAAGAGAGGCTGACTCAGCTAGATTCTACTAATAATAATTCAGTGAAAATGGCTAAAATGGTAAAAGGAGAGTATAGTCTAGAGAAATAATATAGACCCTGGGAGGGTGAAGGTATGAAGGAAATATATATGTACAGGACCTAACTTGGTGCTCATAGAAAAGACTGGTGTAAATTCTATGAAAGTGTCCTTTAGAGAGCTTTGGTTCCTATCTCTACTAAGCAGTGAAAGCTTAAATTACAGGGTCACAAAATCTAGCTGCATTGAGAATAGGCTCTGTACCTGTCCCCCAGTAAGGGGTGACCTCCCTTAGCTGTCCTGATTAGACTGATCCAAAAAAAGGAAAGGCACAGGGGCTGGGGTTGTGGCTCAGTGGTAGCGCGCTTGCCTAGCATGCATGATGCCCTGGGTTCCATTCTCAGCACCATATACAAATAAATAAAATAAAGGTCCATCAACAACTAAAAAATATTTTAAAAAAGGAAAGGCATGTCAGTTTTTAGGAATAAAAGTGATTTATCTCAATCTTCACTGTCTTATCAAGTGACTGTCTTTCAACAATAAAACGATGAGGAATCAAAAAGAAATATCCACATTGACAAGAAACAAAGCAGTTGACAGTATAAGACTCAAAGGAGACATAGGTGTTGAAACTATCAAGTATGGAATTTAAAATAACTGATTGGTAAGTTAGAGATGGATATTGTGGATGCTGTAATATTTGATGGTTGGTTTTAGCAGAGAGATGGAATCTCTAAGAAAGAATAAAGGGAATTGCTAGAAATGAACACACACATACACTAATATAGATTAAGAATGGCTTTAAGGAGCTGATTGGTTGACTTCACACAACTGAAAAAGAATCTGAACCTCAGGATCGGTCAGCTAAAATTTCCCAAACTGGAATACCAAAAGAAAATGGGGGCGGGGGTAGTTAACAGGACAGAACAGCTGAGAACTGTGAGACAATAACAAACAGTGCAAGATCTGTGTAGATGTATAACCAGAAAAAGCCAGAGAGAATAAGACAGTAGAAATATTTAAAGAAAAAGCGGCTGACAATTTTCCAAATTTAACAACTAAACCCACCTTAGCTCCAAGAAACTAAGAGAACACCAAACAAGAAAACTAACCATAATAAAAAAACATTTCTATGTATAAAACTTTTGGAAACCAAAATAGAAAATGATTAAGACAGGTAAAGAAAAAGATACAGTAAATGCAGAGAAACAAAGAGAATAATTACAACAAGCTCTTTGTAATAAAACAGGTAAGGCAGAAGATAATGGAGTAGCATCTCAAAGGCCTGAAAGAAAGAAAAAACACTGCTAATCTAGAATTCTATACCCAGCAAAGGTATCTCTGAAACAAAGGACACATAAAGGCTTTCTCAGATAAAAATGAGTAAATTTATTACCTGTAGACCTGCATTAGAGGAAACAGTAAAGAAAAAATTTCAGGCAGTAGGAATATGGTACCAGAAGAAACTTGGATTTACATAATTAAGAGTAATGGAATGGAATAAATTAACATGAAATTTTTTTCCTTTCATTTAATTGCTCTGAGATTAAGCAACTGTCTAAAGTAAAGAAGCAGTACACAACAGAGGAAGTGGAAATATTACTTGCAAAAGAATATCATTAATTAAAGATGTTTATTGTAGAACCTAGGGAAACTCCTAATAATTAAAACTAGAGGTATAATAATAGATTAATAAAGGGGATAAACAGAACCATTAAAAAGTTCAATCCATCTAAAA